TAATTTTTAACTAATTGATCAAATTTTTAAAACTTCTTTTATTGTTTTAAATTAAGAACTTTTTTAACTAAAACTAGAAACTGCCATAGTTTATTGATTTTTACCTGAAACATTTACAATATCTCAAGAAACAAGTCTCAAGACTATATTTCACAGAGTAGGCACATTGAATCAACATTGCTTTGTAAATTTGCCATCCAGGATTTTGGGGTGGTATATCCATGTAAAGTTGAATCAGATTCTTTAGTGGTTTCCTATAGCAGTCCCCCCGCCTTGCTTCTATTTGGATATAGTTACTATGAGTCCATGAAATATAATGGAAATGTGAATAAAGAATTTAATACATGGCAGATTTTAAACATTGGTGTTTTAAACCCTTTGTGAATGTGATAGAAATTAGTGGTGTGGAGCAGTGTAAATATTGAGGTGGTGATTTGTGAAGTAGCCCAGTATTGCCTTAAATAAAATCACATTTCATTTCTTGTTTTATACGCGTGATCTTATAAAAGTTTTTTTCCCCCATTTTCTGAGATTTATAGATTGGTGTATAGCTTTAAACTGTAAAAACTTTTGTGGAAAGAATTTTTTAAACATTTTTATAAATCTTAAAAATTGCTATCATTAAAGTGAGCCCATCTTGTGTTTATAAAATACAAGAATCCTTAACATAGTTACATAGATGAATCACTTTCTGTAAGGAAGTTGGATGTTTTGATTTCACTGTTACAGACATTAGATTGTACAGCTACATCTGTATTTCCTCACCATATCTGATGATATTCTTCATTAGATCGGTCTTCAAGAGCAGTATTAGTTATTATAATTGATTATTTTGATTATTCAGTATATAGTTAACTCTTATGGTTTAGCTTTTTCACCATATTTATACTGTGGATTCACGGCCAGAATTAGAGGTTATTTCAAGCGAGGTCATGAATGTCTTTTTAAAGTCTAACTAAAATCAGCTCTGGAAACAAAACATCTTTTCAATATTTACATTTTTGTTTGCCATGAATTGTAGCATTGAATTTTATATTATGTTTGTTATAAAGCAGTTACATTCACAATATTGTTAGTGTGAGATATTGATGATATTGTGATGATACAAAGATGTGTATATTCCCTGTGCAGCAGCATCAGATTGGCAGGGGAAATGAAGCACTTAACAGAAATTGCTGGTACTCTGAATAAGTAAGCATGGCCAAGGAATGATCTATTTTCTTTGGAAAATATTTTTTTAAGTTTTATTAAAGTAGTATAGTTTTTATTTTTGAGGGCTTAATGGGTGATATTGAATAGTTGGTTTCACCTCCTTAAGGTTTATTATCAATATGCATAAAACTTGACCTTAAAATCCCTACCTTTGGCAAGCCCACTGTTATTTATTAAAATAAAAGTTTTATGGATGATTAATACATGTTTTTTTCTAAATAATAATTTAAATCAGTAATTTTAGTATTTTTTGTGAACTGAATGTTTTCATACAGTTTTCTTAGAAATTGATCTAGCTCTTAAAGAAGGGCATTTAGCAAAACTGCCTGATACAGTGTGATGCAAGGAGATTTGTTTCTGATCACTGTAATGATGAACCACTGGTAAGTGAAGATGCCAGTGTATTAGGGCTTTTCTTTTGCTTTATTAGCTTAAGAAAATTGACCACTAGACATTTCTGTAATTGTTCTGCATTTTAGGGTGAAGAGTTTGCCAACATTGAGTGAATTCCCTTTTATTCCAAGTACTGTATGCAAAAAGTAATTATGGGAGAGTGAGCTTTTTGGCATGGAACAGAAAAATCAAATTACAGTATAAAATAATTTGTAGAACACCATGTTGGTAAAATTTGATGTGGAATGTAATGCCTAAGTATTAAAAAACTTGAAGTATTTTTCATGGTATACTTTTCCTCATCCTATTGTCTTTGAGACAATTTCTTCTGCAATATCTGTTGGCCTGAGATATTGCCCAAGATTTCATCATTTAAAATTTGATTTTTTTCTGTACCCAAAATATTTTAATATTAATAAGTCATCTTAAGTGTAACAGCTTGAAAATTTTCAAGACTCTTAAATTCAGTACAGTTAAACCATTTTAAAGGGCTAGACAGATATACATTTTTATCCCTGCCCCCCGAAAAAAAGTGGTTACTACATGCATTTAGGTAGAGCAGTTTAATGAGGTACAAATTTTACAAAGTTAATTGGTACCATGTAAAAAGATTGGATAAATTGGATGTTAGTAGCAGGGAAACTTGAAATGGTCCTGGCACAAAAAGATGGGAACCAGAAGAAAAATAGCATCAATGAAGTTGAAAGAAAGAAAAAGACTAATATTTATGAGAGATGATGAGTAGTGTAAGGCAGCCTTTTTCCAATTATTTGTTGTACTGTGTTATCAAAGGCAAGTAAGGTGATTTATATGACCAAAGTAGTGATACAGCTCCCTCTTTAAGAATCCAGTGCACATTAACATATTAAACACTGAAAAGACCTCTGAAGAAAACATGGTAACTATTACAGTAGGAATGTTCCAGACTTAATTGACCATTAAAACATTTTCCAATGTTAGTACATAAGTATGTTCTGCTGAATTAGTGTTTTGAGCAACAGACTTGGGGAAGTGCTGATCTAAAATGTCATTTATTCAGCCAGGACTAATATCAACAGGTATAGACAACTCAAGCTGTATCAGCTATTTGAAAATGTTGACTATTTTAGTTGGCCTTTTTATCCATTCCAAGTGATTGATTCCTGTACTGTATTGTTAATGCTTTGAATATCACCCTTTATTTAATAATACAGTAATATTTATTGAATGTCAACTAAGTGCGCTTTGTTTAAAATCTAGTCTCCTCAAAGCCTCTGTTGCCTGTTCCAGATACTTGTTTTTTGTTTTGTTTTGTTTTTTCTTCGTTTTTTTAGACTAGGTCTTGCTGTGTAGTTCGGGCTGGCCTTGAACTCACTTTGTATCCCAGCCTGGCCTCAAATCTGTGGCAATCCTGCTGCCTCGGCCTCTTAAGTTCTGGGATTACAGGAATGCACCACCACACCCAGCTTGTTCTAGATATTCTTACCCTACTTCACGTTTCCTGCTGTTTCATTTCTTTGAATACATACTAAGCTTCTCCACCCCCAAAAGCCTTCACACTGTATCTGGTTGGAATGCTTACCTCTTTTAATTTTATGACTATCCATCGGTTAGGAATGTCATCAGAGAGACACTCAGGTCACTCTAAAGTAAAATTATACATATGCCCATTTTTGAAGTGTTTTATATTTGTTCCTTGTCTATTCTCTGTCCCATCACTACCACTGTATGAAGAAAACGAGAGTATGAGTTTTCTTCAATGACCTTGCTTATTAGAAATGCCTCTTAATGACATGTTCTTCTAGAAATGGGACCCTACACCTTGCCATAATCAACTCAGATTCCCTTCAACCATATACTTCTAGTTTACCTGTTCATGATAGCTTCACTAAAAAGTTCTGCCTCGATAGAACTATCACCGGCAGACCATCTCATTCATGTCTCCAGCTGTAGCTTAGAGACTAGATCCCATTGATATTATACACTTTATTACAAATATATTCAAATCGGGCCATTTCTGCTGTCTCCTTGGACAAGTTGAAAACCTTTGTCTTAAGCAAGTGGATGGATAAAGTTATTCCAAGAGGTAGATTGATTTTGCTAACCTCAGAGTACCAAAAGCAGCTTGCCATTTTTGTTTTCTTAGCTGGCCTCCACAATTTAAGTGGTATGTACTTCCCTTTTTGCTTGATCTTTTAATTTACATTTTACTGTCAAAATTTAAAAATTTGGCAGTACTGTACCTTTTTCAAAACAAATTTTTACCACCAAAGTTCAGACTTAATTGTATCTGCACTTCCTCTCTACTAACCAGAAACTAATTTTTTTTCTGGTGTGTACCCCTCAAAACAACTTAACTTTCAAAACTACTCGTAACCTTTGTCTTACTAAATTATTTTCAAATATTTATAGAAAGGCCCTAGTAGCTCCTTTGTAAGAGAATGATGGACTATTTCATCCAACTCTAATTTCATTTGTTTGGTCCCATTTACAGCTAATTTCATGGCACCCCACTTCCCCACGTAAACAAGTTACTCATCTCCATCCTCTTCTTTGTTGTCATTATCTGCAAGTTCTCATGACCCTCAGTTCCTCAGGGGAATTCAGTAGAGTTGATGATTTTCTCCTTGAAGTATTCTTTTCTCTGTTTTCTTGACACATTTTCTTGGTTTTCTCTTTGTCTTTGTTGGCTGCTGCATCTCATTCCATCCCTGGTTTATCTCAATGACCTCTGGGTCATTGTGCCTGTTCGTATTCTCTTTGGATGATTTAGCTATCTTTTGGAGTTTAGTTTTATGTCTATAACTAAAATTTATACTTCTAAGACCAAACTTTTTATAGTTGTATACACAACTGCCTACCTCAAAGTTAATTGTATTGCACTCAAACCTTTATTTTCTTTACCATACCTTCAACCTGTTTCTCAACCAATATTTCTTATCTGGGAAAGTGAACTCTGCCTTATTTGTACAGCTAGGCTCATTGATAGTATCATAATAACAAAAAAATTCATACCCTTTCTCTGTAATTAGTCACAGTTATCATAATTTTTATCTAAGTGGGAAGGAATCTGTTTCTCATCATGTTATAAAACAAGTCCAGTGACTTATCAGTCTCCCTGCTGACTCCTCCAGAATATTCTCCACCAAGCAGTTTA